TCTTCTTCAGCACACTGACACTTTCTCCCCTCACACACTCATTATATTCTACCTGCAGTTCGATCTGACACAAAGACCCACGTCCTCAGGAAGTTCAGAGGTCAGGAAGATGGATGACTGATTTGTGAGACTGACCCCTGGGGTGACAGACAGCCTGATCCACCAAACATAAGTCTGTTTTAAAGTCATGGCTACTGAATACAGCACTGCTGTCACTCAACTATGACCAATCATGTCTCCGCAGGAAATAGATACAGGAATAGCATGGAATGAGGCTTCAGTGATTTCAAATATATACCTTTGCAGACTTCCTTCATTTGTTTTTCTCTCACACACTCAAAAATACAGTTGAAATCATTGTTCATTCTGATTCTGGGGTGCAAGTAATTAAATCCTTTACTTCCTTTGACAAAGTTCCTCCTAATGAGCGCCTGAGCTGTTTCTCCAAGTTTGTCAAAACTTCTAATGTAATCTCAATTAATCACAACTTTAAGGTGCTGTAAGCAATATTTGTATGAATACATCACATAAAATATTTCTATTACCTGACAAATATCACATCAGTCTCTGCATTTGCTCTAGACTCTGTAAACAACAACAACACAAGGTCAAGAGAGCGGCCCTCATTTTTTAGCTAATCAGAAACGCTCTGCACCTGTCAATCCTTTTGCATGATTGGGTCCGGCAGAAGCTGGGAAAACGGCTGAAATGGCTTACGGCAGGGGTTGACCTGGATGATGAATATCTCAAGTCTCATCTGATTTGCTTAAAGGGGTCATAGGATGCCCATTTTCCACAGGTTGATATGATTCTTTAGGGTCTTAATGAAAAGTCTGTAACATAGTTTGTTTCAATTTCTCAATGGTAGTGTAAAAAACACCTTTTTTACCCTGTCAAAAACAGCTCTTTTCAGAGCACGCAGTTTTGTAGCATTTTCCTTTAAATGTTAATGAGCTCTGCTGACCCCGCCCCTCTCTTCCGAGCTGCTCTCTGAGGGACTGTTTACTTTAGCCGCATTCATCGTGAAACTTGCTAATTAGCACATTATTAGGAAAGGCGATTTGCAAAGATTCATTAAAAAAACCTTACACTTACTTCTTCTGTAGATGAAGCTGGATCACGAATGATTCGCGCGAACACAGTCGCATTTATGTAGATCGGGGGAGCATTCTCTTCAAAAACAAACATAATCCACTGCGTCTTCAGCGGCTCAGATGTCGGCAGTAACTGACGATTGCTGTTCATTATTACATCCAACAACAGAACACCTCAATCGCTTAGGAGTCATTCTTGTCTACAACTGCTCCAGCGGTGAAACAATAGAGGACTGATGACAGCTCACTCAGGGAGGGTCTAAGGTAAGACACCAGTCCAGTCTGTGCTGAAACGCTACTGTCAATCAAACTATCGTGGGAGGGGCCTGTTTTTGTGACATCACACAGACAGGCATCTGAGATCAGCTCGATTTGAGAAAGGGGTAAAGATTTGAGCAGATTAAAAAAAAAAACACTTGGTGGATTTTTATCATTTTAGGGTGGTTGTGTACACACACTGCCAACACACATTTCAGTTCAAACAACTTGTAAAAGTGCATGTAGCATCATATGACCCCTTTAACGACCGATGGGGCATCTGTGATGACTGGAAGAGAGAGTGGTCTTATCACAAGGCTGAAAAACAACTATACTTTACTGGAGAGTATCCACTGCCTTGCACACAGGCTTGAGTTGTCAGTAAATGATGCGCTAAAGTCTGTCACAGGTTGCAATGACTTTGAGATATTTATTTCAAAACTGTACACACTGTACCATCAGTCCCCAAAGAATGCAAGACAGCTTGCAGAGGCAGCCTCTCAAGTCAATGTCAGCCTGCTTAAGATTGGTCAAATTTTTACCATCGGTTGAGTAGCAAGTAGTTTTGTGACTGTACAATCTGTTTGGAGAGACTACCCTGCTTTGGTTGCACAAATAAAAAAAAGCAGCTGAAGATGGATCACACTCTGATGGAGAAAGAAAAAAAAATCAATGGCCTACTGAATCGCCTCACATGCACTGGCTTTGTTAAAGACCTGGCAACTATAAAAGCTGGGCTACGTGAACTTAAGAGTCTAGTCATTAAAACTTCAGGTAGGTAGTGTTTTTCTTCTACTTTAGTCTGAAAAAGAGAATTACATTGAGAAAGAATTTGTTAAAGTGCTGCTCAATACATTATTATATTTTAGAGTTGTCTTCTTTTTTCAGAACAGAAACACTTCTCTTATGGACCCCACACGAGAAATAAAAATGACCATTGAGGTGTTGAAGGCTTTGAAGAGCACCCCAGGGAAGTCAATGGACAAAGCAGAATTCAAAGGAGTGCCCTTGCATTTCAACAAAGAACATATATATAGACTGCAGTTCCTCCAAGCCCTCACTGACAGTCTCTCTTCACGAATGCCTTACACTAAGCTTACGAAGATTGTAGCACCACTGAATCCCCTCAGCTGGCCAAAATCCAGAGTATCTTGTTCTCTTTGGGGAGAAAGAAATCCATGACCTGGCAAAGATGCTTGGAGTATCAAGTAGGGAAGCAGTTGAGGACTTCAGAAACTGGAAGCTCAACAATGACCAGAAAGGGAAGGTCCTCAAAAAACTGTTGACTGCCAGTAAAACATACCTGGCTAGTTCTGCTGAGTGTGAAAGAGGCTTCTCTGCCCTCGATGCCACTGCCACAGATGCAAGGAATCGCCTTCGAGCCAGGAGCCTCTCTGCTATACTTTTCATTGATCTTAATGGCCCCCTCTCAACATGTTTGACCCTTACCTCTATATTCAGTCCTGGCTTAGGGAGAAACAATGTCTGTCAATTGCCAGTAAAACGGGGAGAGACAAATCTGCTGAGAAAATCAGGCCACTGTGGGCCATTCTAAACCATAGGGAATCAAGTGTTTTAGAAACCCCCAAGAGCTTTGACACAATTCGAGCACTGCCTGGAGGGCCGGTGTCCTGCAGAGTTTAGCTCCAGCTTGCCTCAACACACCTGCCTGGAAGTTTCTAGTATGCCTAGTCAGACCCCGATTAGCTGGTTCAGGTGTGTTTGATACAACACTTTTAACTTCTCTGATTTTCAGCTCGTCTTTGAAATCGCTAGGTGGGAACCATCTCCCATCTCAACAGCCATCGGAACTGTTCTTTCATTATCAGCGAAAATGTGAAATAACCTTTGCAAAGGTGGGTGAAGTTTTAAAGCCGCTGGCACACGAAGGTCTCCTTGACATTTTTCCGCTCATCTTTTTTCGAACGCTTTCTCCTGTCTGTACGCAACCCAATGACATTTACCAAAGTCATCAAGAACGGGGGGAAAAATGGTATTACTGAAGAAGAAACAGCTAAAAGCAGCTTGTTCCATTCCGGGGACCGGATTTATAAGAACATACTGTATAAGCAAGTCAAATGCAAGGCTTGCATTTGAAACTAAAGTTACACTATTTCAGATTAGGCTGGTGTGACGGCGGAAGAAATAGGGCCTATATATATATTATATTCTCCTCCACCGCCTCACTGTATAACGCCACTGATCCCGGACTTCAATGGCAGTCAACGAGTGTGAAATAAACATACATCCCAAAATAACACAACTGGGTTTCTTATAAAACGAAATAGTTTAGTTTGATAGATTTGAAATGTATACACCTTTTACATTTTCCCCAGATAGGCTACTAAGACACATTTCCTGAAGCCATTAACTATCTCAAAATTATAAACAAAGTACAGAACAGTAAACCTTGTTAAAAATGAACAATGTAGAAAGACAGAATTCAAAATCTTACTATTGTTAAACATATTTCCCAAATTATCAGTAAAACACTGTGGAAATAAACAATGTCACATTTATTCCGAATTAGCATTTCTATAGCTTTCTGAATCAGTCCATATCCGTCCGTCGTATATCAGATATAAATTGAAGCTCTGGCAAGTCATAGCTTAGCCTATGCCTCATGCACTTAAAATAGGCTATCAATCGAAAGTAACATCCTCACAATATAGCCTATTACCTAGAGGTTTTTCCACTCCTCCACACCTTCCCCCTCACATAGAGGAAAAAAATGTATAACACCGCATAGATCTCATCAGAGACTTCCTCTTACATGTACTCTTCTTCTTAAACATTTTCCGTTTCGATCCCAAGCTAATAAACACACGCAACCCTTTTTATACATTCTGACTGGTGTGTGAAGAGTTTTAGTTACCAGTTGTCAGCTTCCTTCCTTCCGCTAGAAGGCTCTGCCGTGCAGCCACGGGGTTTTGAAATCGGTCAGAAAAATCGAGGGGTGTTGATTACCATCGTAATAAACACCCCATCGTAAATCAAGTTTGTCCAGGAAGGCAGCAGTCTGAAATCGGACCCAAATCGGTTTCATCAACATAGAACTGATGCATGTGCCTCATGAGTTTAATAACATGCCTAGATGTTATGACAGACATATGCAGAGGCAACTTTCTCCACGTCAACACCTCACTACTCCCAGGTGTAGAAAAAAAGACAAGTTTCTTGACATTGACATCAATGCTAGAGCAACCATATAGAGCAGTGCTTCCCAACCAGGTAAAGCCCACTAAGGCACCTCAGCAACCTTCAAAGGAAGCCACTGGATGATTTATGTGTATGAATATTTATTAACTATAAAATTAATATTTTTAAAATAATACAAATTTAAATGCTTAAACCACACAATCAAGATTTTTTTCTCTTTTCCCTCCTCAACTGTTTTAATTGAAGAATGTAGTTTTAAGAAATCACAAAATGAATCAAATTTAACTATCAACAGTTACTTCAAATTAAAAAAAAAGTCGAAAATAAGCAACAGCAAAAGTATCAGAGGCAATGTTTTAGCTTTGCAAAATAGCAATATGAACAGTGAAAATCAGATTTGAAAACTAAATCAGATTTGTTTGCAGTGTGAACAAAGACTTCGTCTCAGAAACATTCATATAAACACCAAAATAATCATGAGACATGAACTGGTTTTTCACTGTATGTGGGAGAAACCCTTTACTAATAGTTTTTGACTACAAAGAACTGAGAGAAAATACAAGAGACATCATAGATGTTAAAGAGGGATGCAGGAAAGCAAAGACAAGATTGTGCAATTTAGTCTTCTTTGCATAAATTAGGAACAAGGGCTGTTGAGGAAAAGTGTGCGGACGTCTTGTTCTTTAGTTTGTTTTTAAACCTTTGGTCCAGCACCGGGCGTCTGGATTCCCTGGATTCGTTTAGAAGTCAGGACTGTCCTTCTTCAGCTTGCTGTAGTCCATGCTCACTGCGTAGAACTTGAAAAAGAAAAACAGAAAACTGAGAATACAAAATAAGCAGTTTAACAACATGCACTCTTCAAAATCCATTAACTCCACTGCCTGTTTAAGTATTGAACTTGAACTCGACTCCACATCAAATTCACATTAAGACACAAGCACGATTAGATTTGTACCAACTAACAGAACACATAAAATGAGCTTATGGAGTGCTTAATGAATTAAACTCATTAAGATCTGAGATTAGGTCCTGATACGGTCCTTCAGTCACATCTTTTAATAGGATCCCCTCAGGCGCTCCGGCAACAATGGTGGGATTAAGTGCTATACTAACACCACATACACTGGTCAAGTTAGTTTGCAAACTCAAAATTGCTGTTTGCATGCTGGATGCTAAACATTTTGAAGAGTGCTTTATCATTACATTAAAAGAACGTTCTGAATCAAAGCAAACGTTTTATCAGTTACCACAGACCATAACTTTGATCTGTCCCTCACTTCATAAAAATCAAGCCAAAATCAAGTTTGAAGTAAGATTAAAATGGTCAAGATAAGGAATTTCAGAGGGTATAAAAGCAGAAATTATTGTTCTTCAGTACAAAAATGTGTTGTTTGAGCTGTGAAGTTGTTTAAAACATACATTCAGCAGGTTTACCCGCTTTACATGGTCATAACAGGAGTAAAACACTGGGTTTTTTAAGAGAAAGTTTTTTTTTTCATGCTAGGGTCATGTTATAATGTTATTTTTAAAACATTGAGTTTTATTCATGTTCTTCCCATTGGCTCTACAGTGCAACCAAATTACTCTGTGCAAATGTGAAAAATTTAGGCTCAACGTTGTGATTGACCTGATCCAAGATCATAAAGAATTGCATACAGGATCCAAAATGAAAACTCACAATATAATTATGTGCATTTATGTGCATTTATAGTCTAGTCTAATTTATAGTCTAACATTCGTTTTTTTTTATGGAAAACGAATGTTTTCCATAAAAACAATAGACATATTCCTGAATTCTGTCATTATTGAAAAGCTCAGTTTTCTCATGCCTACTTTTGAATGTTCTTATTGTGACACAGTAATGTTCTGTCGCTTTAAAATTTGTAAGCAAAGAGCCCTTCAGTGGCTTGTTCACTAGGCTTCCATTAAAAGTACTTTTACTGTAAATGCAATTGTTTCAAACTGAAGGACGAGTCCAAATTATTTTTCAATTCCACAGATGCCGTTGACAGAACTTGGATGGAACCCAGAACATTCCTTTAAATACATGGAACAAAATAAATCAGAATGTAATACACTTAGAAGCAAGATACATCCTGAACACAGGGTTTAAATGATCACGCACATGAATCATACCTTGTACTGATCATTGGGCCCTAGTTTATTCCAGGGCTCTGGGTTGTTCTTTTTGTCCCAGCTGTGGATGAAGCAAATGAGTCCTTACAGCTCACAGTGCATGTCAGAGCAAATGAGAATCATGAAAGTGTTATTCAATTTTTTTTTTAAATTTGAGCTAAATCTCAAAATTGTCCTATGGTGTGACTGTCTCAAGCATGGTTCAATAAATTACAACTTTTATAAATAAAAAAGAAACGCATAAAAATATTAATAAACACCTCCGGCATAATTGTACAAGTTGTAAATGGCAATCATTTTTTTCATCCATACATTTCTTAAAAAACTCATTCACATCTTAATGAATATAGTTTGAATATCAATCATATTTAGCTGTGCCACACATGCAGCAGGGGTCTAGAAGAGTGTCAGTAACATACTGATTGACTAAGAGACTGACTTTTGTTGATGAAAATTATTTTTTGTTTTGTTTAAAATACATGCTGATATTGTTTCTATCAAAATGAAACTTTCTTTCTCCTTTGACATGTTCAAAATCAAATAGAAATAATTTAATAACTACCATTTCTGTCCTTTAGTGTGACGTAATGTCCTATCTATGGTGTGACATATAAAAGAACCACAGATTTGTTTTTATCTTAAAATATATTTTTAAAAAAACAGTTGAGTATTGTAATGGGGGGATATAAATATCCCTCAACTTAAAATTGTATAATTTTCATTATATATATATAATGTATATCCTCCCGAGAACCAGAAATAAAAAGCTTTGTGAATTTAGTATTTTTTTCATGTCATTACATTGTTTAGAGCATAAGAAAAAAATGGTAAAATAACATTTTTTTAAAATTCTATTTTATTCATAAGTTATGCTTTGTCCTCTGTAGAGGACACCAGGACTCAGTTTTTCTCAAAATAAAATGACAAGAGTAGACATGAAAAGGCAAAAACAATGGGATTTTTTTTTTAAATCATCAATCAATTTTTAGGTTTCAGGATTTTTTTATAACTAACTTTGTTTAAGGATGGTTCTCAACTATGTTATAAAATATATAAGTTATGCTATGTCCTCTGTAGAGGACACCAGGACTCAGTTTTTCTAAAAATAAAATGACAAGAGTAGACATGAAAAGGCAAAAACAATGGGATTTTTTTTTTAAATCACCAATACATTTTTAGGTTTCAGGATTTTTTTATAACTAACTTTGTTTAAGGATGGTTCTCAACTATGTTATAAAATATATAACAAAAATTATTTGGTATACCATTTTGCTTTATGCAATATGTGTGTAAAACTTTCCATAAACTGGTTTTCCCATTAAGCACAATGTTATCTATACACTGTATCTTATTTGCATATTAAAGTGCTGTTGGGACAGCATGTTGAAAAAAGAAGTGTAATAATGGGAGTAGTAATTGGCCAGATTTTCATAATAATATCTAATATTTCATAAGAATATTGATATATAATTTGGGAGTGGTGATGGTGAAACATCCAATCATTTGGTATCTCTGGAAAGCCCTGAATGTGCTCCGTGCAGGACATCCAGACTTAAAACTGTGACACGTGAGGTCTCAGAGAAATTCTCTAAACTATAATGTCCACTACAGAGGCAAAAACTCCATAGCTGGGTCTCAGGAGGATATATATTGATTTCAATTGTACACACATTGTGTATACAACATTGTTTTGGGTCACAGATTTCTGAACCTTACTCTGAACTTCCTCAACTTTCAGAGCCACTATCATCCTGCATTTGCTTCTTTATATTCATTCCATGTGTTAACAAAACCACCTTAAAATTCCACTTACATAGCTTAAAAGTGCTCAGCTTAAAAATGAGCATAAGATTATAATAACAGAGAGGTAGAGAACAGGAGAAAAGCTCTTCATCATCGTTTTAGCCAGGACAGCCTCAGGGCAGCTTGTTCAAACGGTGAGTGTGGAAATGTAGTTTAGCTGCGCTGCCAGTTCTCCTCTGCTGGCTCTTTTAATCAGATTGCCTTCCTGACATCAGGCCGTGTTTGTTTCCCTCCAATTTCAGTTTCTGCTTTGAATTGCACATTAACCTTTCCTCAGAGTTCCTGTTAAGCAAACGGCGACTGTTCTCTATTGCAATCACGATTATGAGAAGGTGGAGGGCTGGTTCTCGTCAGGTAGCCTACATTTCATACAATTCAGCGGCATCTTCTGCTTCAATCCATTCAAGCCAACGCAAGACAGGCCAATACATTATCTTCTACAGCACTGGTGTTAAAGAATTCGTTCTCTTCCCTCGTTTAAGTTATATCGTGGCCACGTAATACTAATACCACGTTTTCTTCATTCAAAAGTCGTGGGGCTCTGTAATTTTTGTTCCACCTACTGCAACAAGCGTTCAAATAGTGATAGGAGAAAACAACGCTTTTCGAGACGTTGAATCAATTGAACCAATTGCTTCGCAAAATGATTCAATTTTTCGACGCGCTCGACACGCTGGTGACGCCTGCTGGTCAGAAATGCAACAAACAAAATCTGCTCAAACGTGTATAAAACACCAATTACAAAACCAATTGCAAATATTTAATTGAAAGTTGAATCTATTAAATGCAATTACCAAATCATCTAATACCATTCAATATGAAGTGTCTTTATAATGTGTGTTATTTTATTAATTTGTAGGACTTGTTTTGTTTGTTTTATGGAGAACTTGGCTAATTAAGCTAATAAGGTACTGATAGCTACAACTCTTCCTTTTTATTATACAAAAACTTGTCATTAACGTCTCAACGTCTCATTTTATGCACCAACATGACAAAACAGTAATAAACAGCAATAATATTTGCTCACACACACTACTGTTCAAAATGTTGGAGTCAGTAAGGTTTTTGAAACAAGAAGTCTTATGGTCACCCAGGCTGATTTTATATGATCATAAATACAGTTAAAACATAACAGTAATGAAAAGTATTGTGAAATATTATTACAATTTAAAATAACCGTTTTCTTTTTTAGTATGTAATTTATTCCTGTGTTGGCAAATCTGGATTTTCAGCATGATTACTCTAGTCTTCAGTGTCACATGATCCTTCAGAAATCATTCTAATATGCTGATTTTGTGCTCAACAAACATTTCTTATTATAAATTATTAATGATAAGAAAATGAATGAAAACAGTTGTGCCGTTTACTATTTTTTATGGAAACTATGATACATTTTTTAGGGTTTTTAAGCTTCTTTTTTTTTGGGATTAAGGTTAATAGAAAGTTCAAGACAACAGCATTTATTTGATAGCTACAACTCTTCCTTTTTATTATACAAAAACGTCAAAATGTCATTAAAAATGTCATTAAAATGAATAAAACGGTTCAGAAATCATTAAAACCACTGGTTCATGGATTCATATAGATGATTCGCAAAGGTGTCGAAGCTTCAGGAAGCAGTGTTTGGAAAGCGCCTAAACAGACACTCCACAAACCCATTCATGTCCAGGCTGTGTGTTTAATGTCATTTGGTTGTTTTTCTCTCCCCAAGCGGAGCGAGAATATGAGAATATGATGCAGGCAGACATGAACAGCGTTTTTGGCAGACGTTCCCCGATGACAGCTGGTCAACAGCGTCTTCTAGAAACATTATCGAGTTTCCCTTTTATTTAAACAAGTGTTATGATTCCAAACAGATCGTTCCATAAAGATGTAGAGTAGAATTAATCTATAAAATTCCATTTTTATTCTGACATAAGGATAGTAGTATAATGCAGATGATATATATATATATATATATTAAAAAATGTCAACTTTCTAAACATTTGCTTTGCTGACTTCAAACAAGACACATGAGACATGAATATAAATGACATCTGGTATGAAAAAGCCATGTTTTGACAAATAATTCATCTATACAGGTGTTTGTGCATTACATACACAAAGTAAACACCACACACACTTCCTGATGAGATGTTTAACAATTTACTGCCTAAATTAAGACTACAATTAAGGCAGACCACAGCTGTCTGAACTCACTGTACTTCTCAAATGTCTAGGAGGTATATATAGAAATGTGTCAAAAGTTTGAATTGGGGTAGTTAAACAAATTCAGTGGTTGCCTTGCTGGAGGGAGTCTTCAAGGAAGTACAATCAACTGTGGTGTGTCTACATTTTATAGACTACAGTTTTAAATTGGATCTTTATCTTTATCCAACCTTTATTTTTCTGATTTCGCCATATGAGCATGACAGATTATGATTAGGTACAGACACACATTTGCACTGTCCCTCGGTTACCATGAATACCATTTTGCAAGATGATGGGCAAATATATCCTATAATTAAATGTTCAGAACATCAGCATAATATTTGGAGTGCTAAAACGTCATCTCTTAAGTATACCAATGATGGAGTTAGTGTAGTAAAGTTTTTAGAATAAATGTCTGTTTGTTTCAGGGGTTCAAACGCAGGCATACATGTGTGCATGCGCACACACACACACACACACACACACACACGGTTCCAGTCTTCAGTATGTCGTCTTCTTAGGAGACTTTCCAAATTTGGCATCCAGTCCAAGGCCTGAAAGACAGAGCACAATCATGGTTGAGCTTATTATATATGTGTTCACTATGGTCATACAGTTCTGGACTGATTATTAGTACTGCACAATATAGAACTATTCAACTTTAACAAGCTCAGAAGTACACGACCAGGACATACATCACTGAATGTGTCTTTTCTAATTAACTTTTTTAATCCAAAATATTATGCTCAAATGCTGCAAATGAAGTTTGCAAACAAATATAAATTGTACCTATGAATGAACTTCTTTAATTGTATTTATTTTTTAAGTTAACTAAAATCTATAGTTTTTGGGGTCAGTAAGATTTTTTTTTTTTTTTTAAAGAAATTAATACTTTTATTCAGAAAGGATGCATTAAATTTATCAAGTGATGATAGTTAAGACATCTGTAATGATACAAAAATAAACAGTTTTTTGAACATTCTATTCATCAAAGAATCCTGAAAATATATATTATGGTTTCCACAAAAATATTAAGCAGCACAACTGTTTTCAACACTGATAATAATAAGAAATATTTCTTGAGCAGCAAATCAGCATATTAGAATGATTTCTAAAGGATCATGTGACACTGAAGACTGGAAACTGAAAATTCAGCTTTGCATCACAGGAATAAATTACATTTTAAAATACATTCAAATAGAAAGCAGTCATTTTATTTTAATTTGTAATATTATTTCACAATCTTATTGTTTTTACTGTATTTTTGATGCAGACTTGGTGAGCACAAGAGACTTGTGTTGAGAATCATAGTGTGTGTGTGTGTGTGTGTGTGTGTGTGTATATGTATTACAATATAAATATACATAATATAGTTTTGAGAACAGATCACTCACCGAGGAAGACGAGGATGGTACCAAACCACTGCATAGGGCTGATGATGTTTCCAAACAGCAGCACAGACCCCAGGATGGTGAAGAACTTCCGTGTCGTTGTGATGATGGAACAGGTGAGCGGCCCAAAATACACCACAGTCATGAAGATGAAAGTCTAAGTGAAGAAAGATGAGGAGAATAAAACCCTGCATTATCACCTCATTCTCATTAAGGCGGTGGTGTCAAAATGAATGATGAAGCTGTTCTGTTTTTATTCAAACAACAAACCTACCTGTCCAAGAGCGCTAGTGATACCGAACAGAAGGATATTATAGATGATGCCAGGATAGCGGTCAGCAAATGACAAAAACTCCCACACCTCTCCTGTCCAAAGCACAGCTATGCAGAAAGAAAACGCGAGAGATAACTTTCTTAGTAGATGGTTTGCATATGTTAGTTTCTCATTCAAAAGTGTTTGCCTTAATGAGGTTGGCAAGTAACTTTACTGGCCAAAGACGGTTTTTACTCACATTTGGGCTTGGCGAGTGTTCATTTTGGACTCTGTATTATTTCGCATTTGCAAAAACTATTCATTATTTCTGATAACTTTAGAGAGCGCCACAGGACGGCTCTGGTTTCATAATGAGAGGTTTGGAAGGAAGGAAGTTTGCTGCATGTGTGTGATGGGATTAAAGATTAAACGTGAGGAACAGATAGATGCCTTTCAGAGCTGAGGCAGACAGACTGAACAGCTGCTGGAGATCAGCGGTGTTGCTTCTGTCAGGCCTGAAATAATAACAACAGCAACACTAACCATAGAGCCAGAGCTCCCCCTGCTGGAGGAAACCCAGTATACTGTTTCAAAACCATGAAGACAACCACTTAAAGCAGCACTATGTAACTTTTGGCGCTCTAGCGGTTAATAAACAGAACTGCACACATCCCGCGGAAGAACATTCCAACCGGAGCTACTTCTCTAAGTTTATGTCTATGGCGATTCACGCAGGTATGTGTTACTCCGCAGCGGTGACGACCCGACCAGGCTACAATAGTCCAAATATAAATACTTATTATAAGTGCACCGTAGTGATTCGGAATAAGACAAAAACGCGGTTTGGAAGATGAATTCATGATGTACTCGTTCATTATATACATTTAGCAAATTTTGAATACAGAAAAAGTTACATAGTGCTGCTTGAATACAAAAACTAGGAGGAAATAAATGCGGGGTACTAAAAATGATTTCTAAATATGTATACATTTGCTCTGTAATGGCTTAAAAGAATGACAGAGGCAGCAATTTCAACCAAACATCCATTTCGCCAAGTAGATTATAAATGTTTAAGGCAATCCATAAAATAGAGAAAAAACCTAGTTAAAAAATAATCATGGCATGTTTTCAACACTGATTTTCACTACATGAATACCAAAATTATAATTAGTCCTTCTCATTTTATGCACCAACATGACAAAACAGTACTAAACAGCAATATTTGCTCTCACACACTACTGTTCACAATTTTGGAGTCAGTAAGGTTTTTGAAACAAGTCTTATGGTCACCCAGGCTGATTTTATATGATCATAAATACAGTAATATTGTGAAATAAATAACGGTTTTCTATTTTAATATGTAATTTATTCCTGTGATAGCAAAGCTTTCAGCATCATTACTCCAGTCTTCAGTGTCACATGATCTTTCAGAAATCATTCTAATATACTGATTTTGTGTGCAACAAACATTTCCTATTATAATTATTAATGATAAGAAAATGAATGAAAACAGTTGTGCTGCTTAATATTTTTATGGAAACTATTATACTTTTTTGGGGGGGTTTTAGCTTTTTTTTTTATTAAGGTTAATAGAAAGTTCAAGAATTTGAAACATATCAATATTTTGTAACATAATAAATATCTTAACTGTCACTTTTGATCAATTTAATGTATCATTGCTAAATAAAACTATTAATTTCATTTTTTTTTATCTTACTGACCCAAAACTTTTAAACTGTAGTGTATTTATAACTAAAACACTTTCATAACTGCTACACAGTGACTTCCATGAACACTTTGAGTGATGATATGAATGAATCGTTGAGTCAGAACTTTTTTAATGATTCACTGAAGTGCATTATTTAAAGAGATTCACAGAAATAAATTCAACTTAATTAAAAAAAAAAAACTGAATTTAAAATCAGACACCGAAAAATATCCGTCTAAATCTCATATGCAGAAGTCATGAAAAAAATATATTTATTGTGAATTTTCTAATATATCACCCAGATCAAAGGGTCTATAAAATCAGTATGTCCTCTGTTCTTACATTCAAGTGATAATAAACATTTATTCTTTTATCTTTAATAACCAGTATTTTCACTAATGAAGTGCCAGTGTTCCTATAATTTAATAGGCCTCTTTTATAACTCACTTATTCCTAGGACCAGTGTGGACCACATGTTGATGTTCAGCATCATGTGATTGGCTCCCGTCTGGTACCGTGCCCTCATGTGGTCCTGAGCTACACCGGTCAGCCCATCCAGAGTCAGAGACAGCAGCTACAGTCAAACACACACACATCAGATCTGCTTTAACCAGACAACAGGAAATGGTAAATAAGGGAGAGAATATAATAGATTTAAAGAAAGACCAACCAGTAGCATCTCTCCAAAACCAGATTTGTGTTCATCTGATGTGCTGGAGCCTTTGTTGGGTTTGTAGAGGAAGAGAGCGACCCCGGCGACGATTAGAAACACACACAGATACTTCGCCATGGGATATTTCTTCCTTAGGATTGTGACACCCAGAATCATCACTGTGGAACCAAGGGGACAATGAGAAGACATGACCAACACCATCAATCTGCAGATGTTTCTGTTGGGTGGGTAAAAAGAATATGCAAGAACAAAGAGAAGAGTTTGCCATATGGCCAACAAACATAAGCCAAAAAATATGGCCATATGGGAATATATGCTCAGTGTTAGTCATTGAACATGTGAGGAAAGCAGAAATTTTGTAGTCTAAACAAAAATACATCCAGATGAGATATGAATGAAAGCTACAGGGGCCAAGTATTTGGACACTTAAAGGGGTCATATGATGCGATTTCAAGTTTTCCTTTCTCCT